ATTGATATAAAAGGTATTTAATATTAAGGATTGATCATGGGTAAAGTGTCGAACTAGGGTTACGCCATGATGGTGGCATTCCGGCCCTCTAGAGGTTAAAGATCGTTATAAACTTATTTACTAAATACAGGTATAAATACGGAAGCCTATCATGTAACAGCGCTGACTTAATGAAAAAACATCTTGTATGGACAAATTTCAAGAAATCTCTTCTGCTTAATGAAAAGTTTCATATATTTGACGTATTAGATGTTCGGAATTCTGACTCATGTGCATATTCAACTCGACTATTACTACCGTAATGCATAAAAGCTTGCCAAGATAAGCTTTTATCTACTTTGATAGATAATGAGGGACAGAAAGGGGTGTAACGGCGGTTCAAAAAAAAAAAAGAGAGAATAAGGAAAAACAAAAATACCGACCACACATTTAGCTCGTAAATTAAGATGAAAAACTGCGTGTGGATGAATAAAAACGATTTTTCCTGTGAACGGCAGTTTTCGGCTCGTGCATCTGGCGACTTTCGGGTACTGGAGATTATCAGGGCGATTTTACGATCGCGTCATCCGGAGTAGTCAGATTGCGCGCATGTTTAGAAAGTAGAGATCTGTAGCGCACATGTGCATCCTGCCAACAGTACTATTATTTTATTTCAAATAATTTATTTTCATTTTTGCTAATTTCTTTTAAATTAAAGGAAACAGATTTGCTTGCAGGTCTCTCGAAAAATTGCGAAATTTGTCTTCCCGTATTTATTGGTTCATTTTCTTTACGAGTTTCGTATATATAATTGTTGGGTGCGCTCAACTTTGCGTTAGACAATTTAAGAATGGCTTGAATGAAAGTTATTAATTATGTTTGTTGCAATTAACTCTGATTTTTTTAGCATTTCTCAAAACTTTTTAATAATCAATTAATAGTTAAAACTATTAATATCCTAATTATTCTTAGATAAATGTAATTCTTAACTTTTGCTCTATCATTTAGTTTTATTATAGATTAAGAAACATTTTTGTAAAATTAGAGTACCACACACACAATTAATTTTAAATAAAATTAGTTTAAATAGATAAAGGCCAGAATAGTACATAGAGGGCCATCTATGCGAAAAGGGCCCAAAACACTAAAATGAAGCCACACCCGCACACTCCGCCCCCGGCCAATTAGGATTCGAACTTTGCTTACGCTGAGATACTCCCCAAATTTTCCAACCAATTAAGTTGAGAAAATTTTAGTTCTTCCTGCCCAAAAATGACAAAGATTTTCGAGTGGGAGTCTCTTGTAAAAAAGTATAAAAGAGATCTTTTCACGAAAATTCAGGCATTATTATTTTTTTCGAAATTCAGTTCGTTCAAAGTTAGTAGCTCAGATTTAGTTCATTCAGTTCGTACAACTATTTTTGAATTCGTTAGCTATTCTTCAAGTTCGTCCAGACCCAGTTAATCTTTTAGTGTGTGTGTGGGAAAACCATTATAAAAGTGAGTAAGAAAAATTAAATAAAAATTTTTACATTCTAACTACTCTCCTTTAACTTCTCTCTCCTTACTCTTCCTAGTTTCGCGTACGGAATTTTCTTTCTTAGATAGTTACACTCGATTGCCAAGCGTGTGGTCGAGTGCATATTAGATAGGCTCCCTTTACGTTATTTTATTGCCAAAAGTGTGGTAAAATAACGCGAAGTATTGCTATATTGCCTAGCGTGTGGTACAGCAAAGCTTCGATCCTCCGTCGCCGAAAAAAGGAATTTCCCGCGATAGTGGTAACGCACGTCCCGGTTATTGTCCGCAAGGATAGACCAAAAAGTGCGCCTGAGAATTGTTTCGTCAACCGATGTCACAGGGGTATGAGTAATAAGTTTAAAAAATTCAACCACTGTTAAAAGTAATAAGTAATACTTTTAACAGTGGTTGAATGATCTATGTCAAGATTTTTATAATGAAATTCACATATGGGTAATTCTTGGCTATTTCGATTGACTTGTAACCCTTAGGTTACGGATTTTTTTTTTAATTTGGCACAATTGTTGTACACATAAAACTGAGATTTTTCCCATATTTTGGAGACGATACATTAATTATATCAAAAGTTATTAACAATTAAAGAAAAATGATAAAAAGTTTTCAAACGGCTATATTTTAAAAACTAATAAAGATATCGAAGTCGGATTTTTTTCAAAATACTTATAATACCTTGAACTTTCGAAATAATTACAACAATAAACAATACAAAATTTTTTTCGAAAGTTATTAACTTTTTGTTTAAACAATTGCTAATAACTCAAAAAGTATTTTTTTTTTTTTTGAAAAATTCTTGCTCCTACGTATTCCTGAGGATTTTTGCTATCGAAATCAATCATAAAATTCCAGGGCCCGACATATCGGAAAGCGTAGCCCTAATCAAAAGAAGACGCCTCGGCGTAAGGCTGCGGTAGCGCTCCAGCGGACACACGGTCGAAAAGTACTTTAGCTTTAATCTAAAAAACTAATAAAGATACCGAATCGGATTTTTCCCAAATTACTTATAATACCTTGAACTTTCGAAATAATTACAACAATAAACAATAAAAATTTTTTTTCGAAAGTTATCAACTTTTTATTTAAACAATTGCTAATATCTCAAAAAGTATTTTTTGTTGTTGATAAATTCTTGCTCCTACGTATTCCTGAGGATTTTTGCTATCGAAATCAATCATAAAATTCAAGGGCCCGACATATCGGAAAGCGTAGCCCTAATCAAAAGAAGATGCCTCAGCTTAAGACCACGAAGACGTCCCGCTGACTCCGAAGACGCTTTACAGCACGATACCTCTCGGCTATTTCTTGGGCCTTTATTTGGTCTTAATAGGTTTAGATGTATTAGATTACAATTAGATGTATTAGATGTTTATGTATATAAACTGCCGATAGTTTGAAGGTTAATAGGGCGAATTATGTCTTATTTATGATTCATTTAACATATTCTATTTCAAAAATATTTTATTTTCATGAATAATTGAGTAATTAGATAATGCTTAAATAACTTTCAAATTCACAGAAGAGTAACTGCTTGATCGAGTTTTTTCTAAGAAAACCAAATAAAGGCCCAAAAGACATTCAAGAGGTTATTTACTGTGAGGGGACCTCGGGAGCCGTTGCGACCGGACACCGAGGCATCTTCTTTTGATTAGGGCTACGCTTTCCGATATGTCGGGCCCTTGAATTTTATGATTGATTTTGATAGCAAAAATCCTCAGGAATACGTAGGAGCAAGAATTTAAAAAAAAAAAAATATACTTTTTGAGATATTAGCAATTGTTTAAACAAAAAGTTAATAACTTTCAAAAAAAAATTTTTATTGTTTATTGTTGAAATTATTTCGAAAGTTCAAGGTATTATAAGTAATTTGGGAAAAATCCGATTCGGTATCTTTATTAGTTTTTTAGATTAAAGCTAAAGTACCTTTCGACCGTGAGTCCGCTGGAGCGCTACCGCAGCCTTACGCCGAGGCGTCTTCTTTTGATTAGGGCTACGCTTTCCGATATGTCGGGCCCTTGAATTTTATGATTGATTTCGATAGCAAAAATCCTCAGGAATACGTAGGAGCAAGAATTTTTCAAAAAAAAGATATACTTTTTGAGAAATTAGCAATTGTTTAAACAAAAAGTTAATAACTTTCGAAAAAAAATTTGTATTGTTTATTGTTGTAATTATTTCGAAAGTTCAAGGTATTATAAGTAATTTGGGAAAAATCCGATTCGGTATCTTTATTAGTTTTTTAGATTAAAGCTAAAGTACCTTTCGACCGTGAGTCCGCTGGAGCGCTACCGCAGCCTCACGCCGAGGCGTCTTCTTTTGATTAGGGCTACGCTTTCCGATATGTCGGGCCCTTGAATTTTATGATTGATTTCGATAGCAAAAATCCTCAGGAATACGTAGGAGCAAGAATTTTTCAAAAAAAAGATATACTTTTTGAGAAATTAGCAATTGTTTAAACAAAAAGTTAATAACTTTCGAAAAAAAATTTGTATTGTTTATTGTTGTAATTATTTCGAAAGTTCAAGGTATTATAAGTAATTTGGGAAAAATCCGATTCGGTATCTTTATTAGTTTTTTAGATTAAAGCTAAAGTACCTTTCGACCGTGAGTCCGCTGGAGCGCTACCGCAGCCTTACGCCGAGGCGTCTTCTTTTGATTAGGGCTACGCTTTCCGATATGTCGGGCCCTTGAATTTTATGATTGATTTCGATAGCAAAAATCCTCAGGAATACGTAGGAGCAAGAATTTTTCAAAAAAAAGATATACTTTTTGAGAAATTAGCAATTGTTTAAACAAAAAGTTAATAACTTTCGAAAAAAAATTTGTATTGTTTATTGTTGTAATTATTTCGAAAGTTCAAGGTATTATAAGTAATTTGGGAAAAATCCGATTCGGTATCTTTATTAGTTTTTTAGATTAAAGCTAAAGTACCTTTCGACCGTGAGTCCGCTGGAGCGCTACCGCAGCCTCACGCCGAGGCGTCTTCTTTTGATTAGGGCTACGCTTTCCGATATGTCGGGCCCTTGAATTTTATGATTGATTTCGATAGCAAAAATCCTCAGGAATACGTAGGAGCAAGAATTTTTCAAAAAAAAGATATACTTTTTGAGATATTAGCAATTGTTTAAACAAAAAGTTAATAACTTTCGAAAAAAATTTTGTATTGTTTATTGTTGTAATTATTTCGAAAGTTCAAGGTATTATAAGTATTTTGAAAAAAATCCGACTTCGATATCTTTATTAGTTTTTAAAATATAGCCGTTTGAAAACTTTTTATCATTTTTCTTTAATTGTTAATAACTTTTGATATAATTAATGTATCGTCTCCAAAATATGGGAAAAATCTCAGTTTTGTGTGTACAACAATTGTACCAAATTAAAAAAAAAATCCGTAACCTAAGGGTTACAAGTCAATCGAAATAGCCAAGAATTACCCATATAAGGATCTAAATATCACTATCCTAATTTGAATAACTTGGAACTTACTCTGCTTATGTCGATATCACTTTTCCACTCAGGTCGTACAACATAATCTTTATTTGAAGGAAGTGGCACTCTTGCTCTTGCTACCCATCCGGGATCACCTGGTCGAAGTGGTCTAAATAAATAACGATAAAGTACAAATTAGAACTTGAATAAATATAATATTAATATTTATAATAAAGTCAAATAGATATAAGGTTTAACGTAAAAATAACACTTAATTTTATAATTTTTTATATTTATTTAGTATCTATAAGAAACAAACATTATAGCCAACAGGTACATACTGTACTTCAACATCGCTCATTATAAACGTAGCTCTTTAAGTAAAAATAATAATAATAATAATAATAATAATAATAATAATAATAATAATAATAATAATAATAATAATAATAATAGTAACAATAATAGTAACAATGTATCATTCACCGGGCTGGTCGAGTGGTTACATCTCACTGGACAAATGCTAACTTCCAACGTCCACGACCGTGCCTGGTGGAAACGATGTCCGTTGCGTCAATGCTCTAAGCAGCAACGTAATAACGGACACGGCAAAGAGGAAGACATGGCTCACAAATGACGTAAAAGATAAGGGTATTCTGCCGATGTGATTAACCATTAATCATTTACACAAACCTATACTCAGACACTACACAAACACTTACACCCACGTTAGGCGCCAATTTGTAACATGGTGCTTTGCCGACTAACAATCACTACGATACTCAACGTAATATAAATAAGAAATTACGATAATTAATTTATCAGATCATTGGGCGCCAGGCACTACTACTAATTAGTTGGGCATAATTAATTTTTCAGGGGAGTGCCGCCCTGAATAATATTTGGTGTTAAGAATTTTAGCTAACACTACAAATAATTTTATATACAGCAGTGTAATATTTCGACAGACTAAGCCATTTAAACTATAAAGCTGACAAAATATTAATCGCGAATTAATAGGTGAATAGATGTGTTTACCCGCGATACGTATCCGCGGCTATGCTCAATTTGATGCTGGATCGTGGGTTACCTTGATAGCAAACAGTCGGAGAAGATTCAGGTCAAAATGTTTACTAACTTCCTTTGTTCTCTGTGGGATCTGAATAATACCCAAAGTCGGATAGACAGAGAAAGCAGGTTATTGGAATAAGTAAAGTATTTGGAGTGGTATAAAATTAAGCCAATTTATTAAATAATAATCTATGTAATTGTCTTGTGTAAAACTGATAACAATTGGAATAACCGTTCGATTAGGCACACATAATTTAAGGCTAATAACTAAGTGAAAAATTTAAACTTTGAAATTAGGCACACGTACAATGAGTTTCGAACGCTATCGCGCTAGTACGTACTCTTTGCACTATTTACCTAACTCTTAATTTCGCTGATGTTGCAATGCAGTGAAATGAATAGACGTGAAATTACTGGTTAACAATAAGTCGTGCAGTACTCATATTTAGACTGGAATAGATTTGATATCTTTATTCAATCTAAATTTTCGATCAACAATTTAGCGGCTTTCGTATTTAGCAACGTGATTGGCACGGTGAACACGAGCGAGCTATGATGTTTCTAAATAAATGCACTCCGATTCTAGGAAAATCACGGGGAAAATCTGCAAAGCAATTGAAGAACACAGAACTGTACGTCTGTATCAGGTAAAAGCCATCGGCAAACTCTGGCTAATTCTCTCCCTCCCTCTTTCTCCTAGTCATAAATTTTCGTAGTCGCAATTTTTTTTTTTTTTTTTTTTATTATTTAACGTCGCTCTATTTATGCTCCATCAGTGCTAATCAGCGACGGAGGCTTGCATGTGTTTGAGAACAAAGCACATGAAACTTTTTTCAGTGGTGCTTGTATCAATTAGCAGGGACTGGGAATCGAACCCGGGCCTACCGGATGCGAATCCGTCGCCCTACCGACCGAGCCATTGCAGGCCTCTCCGTGGTCGCAATATAATTTCGATTTCGATGATTTTTGTGCTTAATGTTATCTCTCTTTATCGCATCAATCACACTCAACTTGCCTAATAGACAAAGACAAGCTTGTATATGGATTATAACGATTATTCCAATTTTTATCAGTTTTACACAACACAATTACATAGACTGTTATTTAATAAATCAGCTCAATTTTATACCACTCCAATTACTTTACTTATTCCAATAACCTGCTTTCCGACCTTGGGTATTATTCAGATCCCACAGAGAACAAAGGAAGTTAGTAAACATTTTGAGCTGAATCTTCTCCGACTGTTTGCTACCAAGGTAAGCTATGACCCAGCATCAAATTGAGCTTAGCCGCGGATACGTATCGCGGGTAAACACATCTATACACCTATTAATTCGCGAATAATATTTTGTCAGCTTTATAGTTTAAATGGATTAGTCTGTCGAAATATTAGACTGCTTTATATGAAATTACTTGTAGTGTTAGCTAAAATTCTTAACACCAATTATTACTCAGGGCGGCACTCCCCTGAAAAATTAATTATGCCGAATTAATTAGTAGTAGTGCTTGGCAACTAATAATCTGATAAATTAATTATCGTAATTTATTATTTATATTACGCCGAGTACCGTGGTGATTGTTAGTCGGCAAAACACTATGTCACAACACATGCCTTTCGACAATCCGGCAAAGTAAATGCTCGGCGACCCTATAAACGGGTCTTACCGAAAAAGCGAATGCCCGTCAACTCCTATAAACTGATCCGCCCGTAAGCAAATGAAGGGCATCGCTCTAACCGGGTTATCCCCGTGAACGAGGCCTGATTTCGCTACGGCCTCTCACACTCACGCACATCCTACAGGGGGAACACTGAACACAGAGGGCAGAGGGGTGGAATGCGTTCCTTAGGTGCCATGTATTATTCCAAGGCGGTTCGTGGAGTCGCAACCAGGAGGGACCTTTAGCATACAATGAAAATGCACAAAGGTAACATTGATTTATCTTAAGTGATAACCCCTTCTCAGGAAGAATCCATTCCGGGATCCGATAGGGTGTGAGCCCCGGTGGCCACGGGCAGTGGCAATGATTTTGAGGGCCGCACTTTGTGTACGGGGAACAGGAAGACGACACGAAATAACGACACGAAAGACTTTACTGAACCTACCAAAGACAGACGAGAAACAATGTGTCAAGCGGCGACAGTACGGTGAGCTACGCCTCTGCCGCTGACAGCCAAGAACATACGACAGAACGAACACTAGCCACGACAAACAACACACGAGACTTAACTGAACTACTATGGCTCATATAAGAGCTGGCGACGAAAATGGCCAAAGCAGCAAACATACAAAAGAACATGAATATGACAGTGAAGACGGGAATTAAGACAATTCTCGAGATTGTGGATATAGCGCTGCACAAGCGATTGGACGCAGTTTCGGGAGGACGTTTCCAAGACAGTAACAATACAGACATTACAACGAAAAATAACGAAGAGATGCCACGGACGAAACGGAAACATTCGCCGGCCGGAACCACGCCGGAGCCCTCACAAAAGAGGCCACCGACGACGGAACTTACCAATGACTGGCAGACGGTCATACGAAAATGAACAGACAAGACAAAAAAGAAAACGGGTGCAAAGTGTTGAAACGACAGATCCGAGATAAGATCGGGGAAGCGGGCAGTGTCAGGGTTATCACCTCCAAGATCCAATTGGAGATCATGGATCTGGACTGCGTTGCGATTCCAGAAGACGTGACGGGCGTACTCAGACGAGAGACGGAACGATACGCGGGATTCTGTGTTCACATTTCCAGTCCGAACCGTGCTGAGCAGTTTATGGTCTGCGAACTGGAATCACGGGAAGCCGGTGCGTTGCTTCGACGTGATCAGATCGGAATTGTCTGGGTGCACTGCCGCGTTTGAAAAAGACTGACGGTGATGAAATGTTACAGATGCCTGGGCTTCTGCTACGTGAAACCCAAATGCACAGGCAAGGACAGGACGAAATGCTGCAGCAAGCGCGGCGCATCCAGATACTACGCGACGGAATGTAAAAGCAAACCGGTCTGCCCACTGTGCTACGAGACCTGGCACAAGGACGTCACCCACCTTGCCGGAAGCGGCAGGTGTGCCATATTCTGAACCGCGCAGGAGGAGTGCTGGGGACGGGCAGGAAGATGAACAGAATATTTCAGAGAAACCTGAGTTAAAGTAGAATCGTAGACATGCTCCTACCTTAGATAGCCGACGAATATGACGCGGACTTTCTGATTCTGTGTTGAACCATATAGGAGAAGATCGACCTAGATATATGTTACGAACGAGACTGAGACAACTGCTATCTGAGTAAGGGGAACCACTCAATCGAGAGTCTCCAACCGCGGTGTCGAGGACGACTACGTCTGGGCTACAATCGGCGCTGACCCTTATCTCAGCATTTACCTGACATCCAACTGCACCGTAGTAGAATTCGAAAGGAAGGTGGCACTCCTAGGAGACGGGATCAGGGACCTACTCGGGGATGTCATCGTTGCGGGGGATTTTAACGCGAGGGCGATTGAGTGGGGAATAAATGAAACGAATCGACGTGGACGACTACTGCTAGATATGGCCGCAAGGCTCGACCTAGCAGTGCTAAATACGGGACATACGCCGAGGTACAGACGGCCAGAGGTTGGAGATTCCATCTGACGTGAAGATGACATCGGACAGGATCTTACCACGACTGACAGGGTAACGGGTGATCGAAGACTATACAGCCAGCGATCACCAGTACATCACCTTCGAAGTGGCGGGACGGATAGAAGCGAGACAAACGAGAACCCACCAACCTCCGAAATCTATTGGATATTGGAACCTACATAAACTCGACGGACGAAGATTTTTGGAAGAGTTGATGGCAGTACAAGCTCCAAGGGCAAAAATTACCCCTGAGCTGACAGGCCGGCGAAAAGCGGAAAGACTGACAGACGAGATGACCAAACTAATATACAGCTTATGCAACAGTATAATGCCAAAACGTTGACAAAAACAAAAAAGACAACCACAATATTAGTGGACAGACAAGATAGCCTAGTTACGCAGGATATGCTTGGCAAATCGGCAACGAGCAACGAGGGTTGGGGGCGGATCCGAAAGGGAAAACCTCTAGGC